GTAACTATTTGTTCCCTAGAATCAGGTACATAAGAAAGGGTCACCTTTTGTTTGCAACAACAGAGACCCTGTAATATTCATTTAAGAATTAGCACATTTTAATTGAAACAGTGACAGAAACAGGACTTAGAAAGAAGGGACCCTAAAATAGACAACTGGTAAAGCTAGGGGAAGACATCCACAGAGGTCAGCTGTTGTTTTACACCAAACTATTACAAACAAGAGGCCCATGGGCCTTAACGGTCCCCCGAGTCCTACAGTATTTATTTTTGTTGTTGAAATATGTACCAATTGGAGTAAAAAATAGTTAAGTATAATGTTAACTTAAGTTTGTCAGGACCATGAGCTGATCATTCCTATACCGAGTTTCAGTTAGATCGGCCTATTAGAACTTGTTTTTAAGTTTGAAATAGTTATTTTCAAAATAGCGGCCATGGCAGCCAAATTATATTTCTGATCGACCCGAAAAATAACAACACTGGTAGGACCATGAGTTGATCATTCCTACAAAGTTTCAGTTCAATCGGCCCAGCAGAACTTGACTTTAAAGTCTGGAATAGTTTTTCAAAATGGCGGCCTTGGTGGCCATATTGGATTTCTGATCGACCCAAAAAATAGCAACACCTTTTCAGGACAATAAGTGGATAATTCCTACCAAGTTTCAGTTCAATCGGCCCAGCAGAATTTGACTTTAAGTTTGAAATAGTTTTTCAAAATGGTTGCCGTGGCGTGGCGCCCATATTGGATTTCTGATCGACCCGAAAAATAACAACACTTGGTCAGGGAGATGTCAGTAACCTTCCCATGAAATATTAATGAAATCCCTTTGCCAGTATTTAAGCTTAAGTTGAAAATGTAAAATGTAAAATGTTGACGGACTACGGACGAAGACGGATAGCAATAGGTCACTGGAGCTAAAGCTCAGGTGACCTAAAAATGCTAAAATGTACTCTTTCAACTAATTAACCCCTGAAATTTCATAATGAATTATTCCAACCTTTGAATTGGAAGAGTTCAAATGTGTATTTAGGGGTGAATGAGTTAAATCTATTGGTAACCTTTTTACATTGGTAATTTATTGCAGTAACAGTGCTTTATAGGTTTGATTCATGTGGATATTAATTCGTAATTACCAAATATAATCACATGTGCATTAATAAAAAAAAATGAAACTGGTAACAAAGTATTTTATAGCATAGGGCCTAGGTTTAATAGAAAACCATGGATATTTAAGGGATTTGAACTTCCAAGGTATACATTCATTTAACGTTGGACTACAACACCAAACAACAATTATAATAATTTAAGAAATGATCCAAAATACCATTATTAATGAGGTTTAAAATGTATTTAAAAATAAACTTTATTTTGCAACAATTATTTAACAAATTTAACATCTTATGTTGAGCTGGATGGTAGTGTGCTGGGTATTTGTACGTGGGAGGGAACCACAGTACCTGGGGAAAACCCATACTGTAAATCCTTCTCATGTTACCTGGGGAAAACCCATACTGTAAATACCTATCATGTTACCTGGGGAAAACCCATACTGTAAATACTTCCCATGTTACCTGGAGAAAACCCATACTGTAAATACCTCTCATGTTCCCTGGGGAAAACCCATACTGTAAATACTTCTCATGTTAGCTGGGGAAAAGCCATACTGTAAATACCTCTCATGTTACCTGGGGAAACCCCATACTGTAAATACCTCTCATGTTACCTGGGGAAACCCCATACTGTAAATACCTCTCATGTTACCTGGGGAAAACCCATACTGTAAATACTTCTCATGTTACCTGGAGAAAACCCATACTGTAAATACCTCTCATGTTACCTGGGGAAAACCCATACTGTAAATCCTCTCATGTTAATTCCTGCCTTGGTTCAACTTCAACATTACATTTTACAGAACATTTATTGATTTATTTTTCAAATGAACAAAACTTAGCCGGAATCATAATTTGTACAGCACATTTTTTGTTAAAAATTCAGAATGAAATCACTTTTATTACTCATTTGAAATCAAATTTAAATCACCCAAGCCATAAAAAATATGAAGTTCAGCTACCCTGAAATCAACCTTAAATGAAAACAGTACATCACAAAGCATTGAACTTTTGTCAGGCTCCTTTACACAAAATTGTCCTGGCTCATACACAATCTCTTAGCATCATTTACAGATAGGAAAAGAAACATAAATAGATAAAATGATAAATAATGTCCTTATTGTAAGAAAGCACTTTATGAGATATATACAACTAATGACAATATATTATAAATATAAACTTCAACAGGAGTATTTCTTCACTAAAAATTACATCATAATGCAAAGTATCTACTTTTCAGAACATTTGTGGATGAAGTTTCTAAATGCTCTAGATCCAAACTTGGAAACTACTGTACCACTGTTAGGTCAATGTTCATAAAATGAATTATATGTAAATCACAATTTTCCCTCAAAATATCTAAAATTGAGTGTTGAATTAGGGAACAAACATCACAAAAATATTCATTTATTAAACATGAACGAAATAAATTTAATTCACAATTGACTCTCTCCCAAGTGTTATATCTAGAGAATTACAAGAGATTTAAAGCATGAATTTCTAAAAGTTGGAAAATCTCCACTTCTATACTCAGTGAATGGCCAGGATAAAGGCCAATTATTATGTTTCCTTCCTCTCTGTTTTATCTACAATAGAGTTATCTCCCTTACATTAGCATACTGACAATCACTCTGTCAAACACATTTAAAACATCAAAACCACAAAACAACAAGTATCTGTGTTATATATATATCTAATATATTACTTGTGTAATATACAAACTCTTAAATCATCAACTTTTTCTAACAGTACTATTTTTACCAATGTAAATATTTATAACAATGAACCCAGTAAATACCATGATAAGCAAGGCTACCACATATGAAATAAACAAACAAGTATAAAACTAACCACCTAACCAAACATGAAAAGAAAGGGTAGAATCATCGTCTTAAAGGTCAAGTCATTGGACATGTTACGATGTAGGTAAGTGTCTTGGAAAGATTTTTGTAAGCATAGTACTTACGTAAGTGGTGAAGATGTATAGGATGGGAAATGTTACGATATAGGTAAGTTTCTTGGGAGGTTCTGTAATCACAGTACTTACGTAAGTGGTGAAGATGTATAGGATAGGAAATGTTACGATATAGGCAAGTTTCTTGGGAAGATTGTTTGTAGTCACGATTGTATCATTTTTACAAATTGATGACACAGAAACAAAAGCTAAGTAAATAATGTGATCTAAATTTGGTCATAGGCATAGAGAAAGTAAGTTATCTGTGTAAGGAGAGACACAATAACTAGACTATGAAGAAGTGTACCATTTATAACTGTTAAACATATCACAATATCTTATCTTTGAACATGGAACAAATGACTTATTAATCATCTCATTAAAAGGTGATACTATAAACAAACATATCTAAGCTACAGATTTACTTACGCACTTTTGTCACTCTGAAAATTGCACTCAATTAGGTATGTGCTAAATGCATTCTCTGGACATTGTTTATTATTGATGGTAGTGCACAAATCTATCAAAATTTTAAAAATGCACTAAATTTTGAATGTGCCAAAATAAGTATAAAATTTTGAATGTGCCAAAATAAGTATACATTTTGAATGTGCCAAAATAAGTATAAATTTTGAATGGGCCAAAATAAGTATAAATTTTGAATGTGCCAAAATAAGTATAAATTTTGAATGTGCCAAACAGGTATAAATTTTGAATGCGCCAAAATAAGTATAAATTTTGAATGCACCAAAATAAGTATAAATTTTGAATGGGTCAAAATAGGTCTGTTTACAGTAATCACACTGCACACATTCACATTGTTGTTCAGCAACGCTCCTCTGAGTTTACATATTTAATTATTACAACAATGTTTTTTAAAACTCACTTTATGCTCTTACATGATCTGTTTTGGAGAATGACCAAAAAAACACATGGCAAAATAGAGAACACTGGACTGTGATAGAAATGATAAACAATGGAATACATTCAGATTGTTTGTATATAAAACAAGCCAACATGTACAGCGAGGGGAAAAAGGATGCAATATAGCATGGTTTATATTCCTCAGTACATTTTAGAATGTCTTTACATAACAACATGATATTGTGCCAAATATCGGGAAATCTTTCAACGGTCAAGTGATAGAAAGGAGAAATGGATGACAATGAATTCTATAATCCAGAATATAGGGTAATACAGTGCTCCATTTTGTTATACACGCTCCCATATCATTTGTACTGGAAAAGGAATGCATCTACTACAAACTATAATGAATTTTTTGTCAAGCACATGTTTTGAAGTAACATCTGACCTAAAAAGATCCCATTAACAGCACAGAAATTAAATTCCCTCTGAATAAAAACAATTTACAATGTATGGTTGAATGGCAATGGAAATGCAGATGGTAATTTCTTTTACTGAATATATTATAAATAGCGTACGACCACCAAAAATTACAAAGCTGGCATCATACTTTCATTCTATGCTTACAGATCTTGACACTGCAAAAACGTTCAAATTTTCAACTGTCTTCTAAAATGGAAGACCATAATCTTTTTTTACTAACTCAACGTTGAGTATGCAAAAACATTGATAGATTTTGTTCTAAGGAGAATTTAACTATTTTCCAGCACTACAGAAACTATTGAAATTTTGACAACTCCCCGTAACCGTCACCTTGGTCATTTTACCAAAGTACCACACAGAGTTAATGTTTTATTACATCGAGTACATTAAGCTTTTTATATTTAATCCTCTCGTTAACCTGTACCCTTCCACCCCTATGTAACTTTGATCAACTTTACCATGTATTGATCTGGACAAGTCCATTATGGTCTACAGTGTTGAAAGGGTTATTAAGTTGCCAACAAATATTTTTTTGTTTTAATTCAGTGTTTGTATATTGAAAATATCTTCAAATTTGTGGGGCATTTTGTCCTTTTTTGTTCTGTAATGAAATTCGCAATTTCTTTTTTCAAATTTGCTATATAATATAGAATTTCTTTTTTTTGGCTAATATGTCTTGTTTTTAACATCTTAACCTGAGGATAATAACACACTTTCAACATTATTCGAAAATTGAATGAAATTGAAGTGTTTAAATACCATGTAAAAATCTGTAACCACATATGTGGTAATTGCACTAAGATTGTATACCGTACATGATCAGTTATCAACATTACATGATATTGGAATAGATCTCAGATCTCAGGAATAGTGTTTTTTTTACTGTGGTTGAAGTTACTGTTTTTAGTATCCTCACTATAGACTCGCTGTGAAGGTAAAACCTTCCTCCATGAATCCATGAACAATGACATATCTGATCCTGAAATGTATGTCCCAGTTGATTCATCCAGTAAACTTTGGTCAACACTTCACGAAAACATCTCACATCATCAAAATGGTTACTCTGTAGAAGTAGTCTGGCTATGTGAGTGTCATGACTTGCTTTGATAAATGAGTATTATGTCGGAATGGTCAGTCTACATGGGCAGTAAGTGGTCATCTCGGTCTTCCTCTTCCTGTAACTGGTCATCTCCGAGACCTTTAAATGTATGTTTGTTGACTGACCCTCCGGTCCGACACACCAAGTTACACCCATCCTGAAAAAATTAAAATAAAACTAGTCATAACAAGAACTGTAAGTCAGAACCGATCTTATAACTCGTTATAACTAGAACTGTAAGTCAGAACCGATCTTATAACCTCACAACTCCTTAAAACTAGAAATGTAAGATGAAGGCTAAGGACTAGGGCATTGAGGGTCCTTTCCAGGCTCATTGGGGATTTAGAAATAGTCGTTATATGCGTAATCTGGAATAATGAAGTACGCAAATATGGAATTTCAAATTCATTTGACAACTTGTTTAGGAGATTATCAAATATGGCATCACAATAAGAGACAAACCGTTTTTCATAATAAAAATTGTGAATATCATCTGTTGTGCACTGTTTGGTTGAAAATTGACAATTTTGAAGGAAATTAAACACTCTTCAATTTTTAAAAGCCTCTGCATGCACCAAGCAAATAAATATTTGGCATGCATAGACATTGTCAAACCAGTGTTCATTTGTTGAAAAACAATTTTGTTTGTCACATGCACAGGCTCTCATTTCTGCATGCTAAAACACCATATTTTAGCTACTTCTGTATAGCAATGCAATTTTGTTGCTATGGTTGGGCATCAATGTATATACGCATTGGAACAAATCAAAGAAAGAAAGAAAGATTTTTATAACAGAAATTGGTTAATAAATTCAAGTTGAACTTTTTACTTTTATGAGGCAAAAAATGCCCCATAATGCCCCAAGTCCTTTATATCCCTAACATTTTTAGGACAATTCTAGAGCTTGACACACAGGTCTAGTGGAGGTACTTACAGACTGGAGATTACCAAAGTCCTGCCAGAAGCTGTAGTTTGGAATCTGCTCCATGCCCTTGGCTCCTAACATGAATCTATGGTAGGCTATACCCAGGACGAGGTAAAGGAAAACCACACACACAAACCTAAAACAGACAAAGAAGGCATTACGTTTTGCTCAACTTCCAACTTAGGCTCCGTCTTGGTAGATTTTTACAGATGCTTACCAAGTTTCATAAAAAGGGAACTTCATTTAAACAAATTATCTTGCAAAACCAAAAGTGTCAATGAAAAGACAGATTGACGAATAAATGAAACTTCCAATACAACAATATATCCCTTCAAACATTTTGACGAGCATATGAAGTCTTATTTCCAAATGGGTGTGGATGAGTGGGCGGTCCTTGACCTCAGTACCTATCTAAATCTCCATTGTGCTCTGATAATATACTTACACAATCACTATTACAGATCCTAAGCTTAGTCCAAACGTCACCACAGGCTTTGGAGGGCAAACTGCACTGGAAGCCATTTCAAATAAGTAATAACATCCATCTGTCTTATTGGTGTATTCTTCAAAGACATTGATGGTTTCAGACTGAAATTTCAAAAAAAGTGTTGTTTTTTTACATGTAGTTAAGAATGAAACAACTACAAGTAATGTTTATAAAACATGATATTCCTGTGCAAAAAACGACATTTCAACTCATTACCAATTATCCACCACTTATAAAGTATGGACTCATTGTATAGACATGCAGGAAGTTATGATGATAACCAGTGTGAGGTGTAGGATATCTTCCTGATTGTTTTACCTGGGATCATAAACTTAGTATGATGGTATGTCTTGGGATCTTGGGGAAAACTGTGTGTCAGATTGAGAGAAGGGCACTTTGACCTACATTTTGACCTTTGACCTTATTTTAAGTACAAAAGATGAAAGGTAAAAACCTGTCACTATACCTTACCTGGTTCTTTGAAGTGACATTCTGCTACCCAAGACGTACCAGTGTACCAACTTTGATGATCATAGGTGAAATAATGAAAGAGATGCTATGGACTAATAGAATCTATCACCCCCTTGGTGGTGAGATAGGGGGATCTCAACCCGAGGGGGAAGAATCTTATGTTGCAAAACACGAGGCTTTGCCGAGTATTTGGCAACTTAAGAGTCTTTCCCAGAGGGTATGTAATGACAACGTTACAGGCTTATTTCAGGGTTGATGTGACGTTGATGGATTGTTGACGTGACGTCATTGTATTGTTGAAATGACATCATACCATTGTTATGAATAGGGGAATCCCCCCGTCTCAACCCTAGGGTGAGACAAGGAAATCTCACACCGGTAAAAGTGCAGATACACCTGTCCAGGGAAAGAGAAAAGTGGTATCTCACATATTTTGCACTTTTAATTAAGGTCAAAAGGTGAAATGTTGGTCAACATGAGCACTTTTTTACATGACAGTCTGCTTTCCCAAGATGTACCAGCATACCAAGTTCAGATTATTCCATGTGAAACGATGGTGAAACGATGTGGGAGTTATGCTCTGGACAACATCACAGACAGACTATTCTCATCAGTGGTGTGACTTTTATATTTTAACCTTTTCTAAGTAGTGGTTTGACCTTTACATTTGACCTATTCTCAGTAGTGGTGTGATATTTACATTTGACCTATTCTAAGTAGTAGTTTGACCTTTACATTTGACCTATTCTCAGTAGTGGTGTGACATTTACATTTGACCTATTCTCAGCAATGGTGTGACCTTTACATTTGACCTATTCTCAGTAGTGGTGTGACCTTTACATTTGACCTATTCTCAGCAATGGTGTGACCTTTACATTTGACCCTTTCTGAGCAGAGGTTTGACCTTTACATTGGAAGTATAGAGAGATTTTTTTACTAAGAACAGTTGTGGGACTGCACAACGCACCAAAAATAGTGTGCGCACACCGTGCATACATCATCCGCACATGGTGCGCACAACTGTGCGATTTAACAATTGTTCGCCCCGTTGTGCGCTTCTCTTCGCACAACTGTGCGATTTGGTATCATTTGTAGATCAAAATTACGGAATGACAAAAATACGGAAGGCTTGTATGCGATAATGTACACTGTGTATATATCTGTAATTTCTCATCACAATAATCAAGATTATACAATTTCACAATGCGTGTTACACAGTATTACAGCGACCGTTAGGCTGTCAAGAACGGGTTTGGCTCCAAGGTAACAGAACAGGTGAATAACAATTTGATGATTGTCCGGAGTTTTACCTGACCAGTGCCTGACACACAGAGCTGATATGCGATACCGTTTGACCGTAATGAATAGTATTTGTTATTTGCATTCGTTTACCTATAGCTCCCCTTCACCTGGATTTTCACACCTGCAGCCTTACCCGATGAGTTACATAAGTGCCCCAGGCGGGGAGAAAATTACGGTCCAGGTACATGTACAAAGTGGTTATGTTTACCTGTATACAGGATTGAGTTGTACTTTTACATGTGTCAATTAAGTTTGTTTATAAACACAATTTAAAAATATAAGATGTATAGACACCAACCACGATTGTTATTGCACAACGTCCGTCCATCGTGCGCACAGATGTGTGCAAGCAATGATCGTCCATCTTTTTATCGTTCGCCCATCGTGCACACACCGTTCACACATCGTGCGCACACCACACATCGTGTAACGTTGTGCGATCCCACAACTGTAACAAGTTTACTTGGTGAATCGAAAAGAGGATTATTATTACACAGTGATTTTGTTGTATTCCATACCATATATACCTACCCCAAGACTGGTAGATTCATCACAAATTATCATGATTCTAGCCTGACGTTTCTCCTTGGAACAGTGAGTGTGGTACTCTTTTCCATCTCTGTACTCAAGAAGAATCCAGCCAGCTGAAAATAGGAAAATGAAATAAAATGAAGTTGGATGATTTGAGCCATTAGAAATACGAGAAAAACAAAATGAAATTAAGAAACCCTGTCCTATCAGCCTCATCATTATTTTCACTTTCATAAGGAACACATTATAATGGTATTTTACCCTACTTTGGATTACTTTGACCATTTTCATTTGGCAATGTATCGTGTGAATACTACTTCTAGTCTACATACTGTGTAGTATTGTACGAACGAAACACTGGTCAGGGCCTCAAACCAAGGTTTGTGTGTTTATTAGTTCATTATAGATATCTGTGACCAGAAACTGAGAATTATGTCATGTAAAATAACTTGTCTGTGGGGTACACAAAACTGTGTTTATCCAATACATAATTAATGTAAGTCTAATCTATATATATGCTAACATTTCTAATCAAATTAGTCTAACATGACCAGCAGACTAAGTGCAGCATAAACAGTCTAACATGACCAGCAGACGAAGTGCAGCATAAATAGTCTAACATGACCAGCAGACGAAGTGCAGCATAAATAGTCTAACATGACCAGCAGATTAAGTGCAGCATAAACAGTGTAACATGACCAGCAGACTAAGTGCAGCATAATCAGTCTAACATGACCAGCAGACTAAGTGCAGAATAAACAGTATAACATGACCAGCAGACTAAGGGCAGCATAAACAGTCTAACATGACCAGCAGAATAAGGGCAGCATAAACAGTCTAACATGGCTAGCAGAAAAAGTGCAGCATAAACAGTCTAACATGACCAGCATACTAAGTGCAGCATAAACAGTCTAACATGACCCGCAGACTAAGTGCAGCATAAACAGTATAACATCACCAGCAGACTTAGTGCAGCATAAATAGTCTAACATGACCAGCAGCCTAAGTGCAGCATAAACAGTATAACATGACCAGCAGACTTAGTTCAGCATAAATAGTCTAACATGACCAGCAGACTAAGTGCAGCATAAATAGTCGAACATGACCAGCAGACTAAGTGCAGCATAAATAGTTTAACATGCCCAGCAGACTAAGTGCAGCATAAACAGTCTAATATGACCAGCAGACTAAGTGCAGCATAAACAGGCTAACATGACCAGCAGACTAAGTGCAGCATAAATAGTCGAACATGACCAGCAGACTAAGTGCAGCATAAACAGTCCAACATGACCAGCAGACTAAGTGCAGCATAAATAGTTTAACATGACCAGCAGACTAAGTGCAGCATAAATAGTCGAACATGACCAGCAGACTAAGTGCAGCATAAATAGTCTAACATGATCAGCAGAATAAGTGCAGCATAAACAGTATAACATGACCAGCAGACTAAGTGCAGCATAAACAGGCTAACATGACCAGCAGACTAAGTGCAGCATAAATAGTTTAACATGACCAGCAGACTAAGTGCAGCATAAATAGTCTAACATGATCAGCAGAATAAGTGCAGCATAAACAGTATAACATGACCAGCAGACTAAGTGCAGCATAAATAGTCGAACATGACCAGCAGACTAAGTGCAGCATAAACGGTCTAACATGACCAGCAGACTAAGTGCAGCATAAATAGTTTAACATGACCAGCAGACTAAGTGCAGCATAAATAGTCGAACATGACCAGCAGACTAAGTGCAGCATAAACAGTCCAACATGACCAGCAGACTAAGTGCAGCATAAATAGTTTAACATGCCCAGCAGACTAAGTGCAGCATAAACAGTCTAATATGACCAGCAGACTAAGTGCAGCATAAACAGTCCAACATGACCAGCAGACTAAGTGCAGCATAAATAGTCGAACATGACCAGCAGACTAAGTGCAGCATAAATAGTCGAACATGACCAGCAGACTAAGTGCAGCATAAACAGTCCAACATGACCAGCAGACTAAGTGCAGCATAAACGGTCTAACATGACCAGCAGACTAAGTGCAGCATAAACAGTCTAACATGGCTAGCAGAATAAGTGCAGCATAAACAGTCTAACATGACCAGCAGAATAAGTGCAGCATAAACAGTCTAACATGGCTAGCAGATTTCCAGGTATTAATGGAGTAATAGAAACTTTGTATATTTTTTTAAAGAGGGGAAAATATGCGCTGTAGTCTTATGATCTGTCCAGCCAGGGCTGCAGGCCGGAGCCAGAGGGAGAGTATGGGAGGGGGGCGTGGATGTCAACAACTTTAATTATTGTTTCTCGCTGTTCATTATAGACCATTTGACTCAATCTGGATATGCATTAGAACAAAGCGTTTGAGTGACATTATGATACTGTATACTGTATAAAGGGCCAGCCATTAAAAGTGTCGTAAAATATTGTCAGTGACAATAAACCACTCGGTCATCGAACTGATAGAAAATAAAAACAAAATGGAACAAAGACAGATATTCATGTGGTAGTATTTAGTTCCAGGTGGGGGAATTTCTAACTGAAATAGAGGAAAATAATGACAAAATTGGAGAGGGGAATTGACCAATATTCGCTCATAACAAATGGCCTGTATATATCCATACAACACAATCAGTCTAGTGTGACCCGTCTGTTTTTTACTGTAATGGTAATGGACTGGTGAAGTTTGCTGTTCCTTTATCATGCTCCATACATTCTGTATGTATTTTATTGTATTATTAGTGCTAATTCGGTCAATTTTTACACTTTGCTATAAAATAACATACATATATATATATACAGCCATCTGCTTTTAGCTACTCAACAGATTTGCATCAGATTTGCGCTTGCTCTTATATGTACTTTAAATTTATATTTCTCTCATACTGAGCTATTGTAGTTTTCATATATATTAAATTACCTTGCTGTGGTAATTTTTCTTATGTTTTGTTGTAATAATAGCTCTTCAGAGCTAATGTTTCTGTTTCATATATACGACTATAAATAAAATTTCTTGTATCTTGCTGTTCAAGTAGCTCAGTTGGTTAGGGCAACTGTATTGTGTCAGCAGGTCCAAAGTTTGAATCTTGGTCTTGATTCCTTGAAGTGTTACTCCCAGAACATTGTTTTTGATTTTATCTTTTTCATCTTTATCGTATTCAAAAATGTTGCACAAGGTATTGCATTTGGTTTCTTTTCAGAAATTACCTATTTAAGCGATTTTCAAACTCATAATCACAGTAAATGGCAGTGATATGGGGAATCCTTGAGCCGAAACTTAAACATGTTTTTGTTTTACTGATTATATACACTTTTATCTGGTTTTTCTTTAAAAAAAAAATGATTGTCATTTTTAGATATATATATTGATAGGTAACCAAAATATTCTGGTACAATTTGTGCAAGGGACCTGTATGTCATGGTTTTATTTTACAATTATGTATTGAAATATATATGCAATAGTGGTTATTATCTTTCCAATGCCTTCTCTGGGAGTCAAAACCCAAGATCCATGCCTTACTAGTTTTACGTTCAACCGATCTGAGCTAAAGGGAAGATTTTTTTCCCTAGCCAAGTCAGTAGGAATCGTCGTGGATTTCACCTGGGTGATGCACTCCCCCTCCAACCGATCTGAGATAAAGAGAAGGGTTTTTACACCAAGTCAGTAGGAATCGGTGAGGATTTCACCAGGGTGACGACCTCCCCCTCCAACCGATCTGAGCTAAAGAGAAGGGGTTTTTCCCTAGCCAAGTCAGTAGGAATCGGCGAGGATTTCACCAGGGTGACGCGCTCCCCCTCCACGAAAGAAGTTGTTCCAAGTTTTCCAGGGGTCATAGCAATTCTTGTGAAAGTATTGTGGAGTCTATCTGTCAATATTACCCCTGGGTCCCTACGTGGGCTCCAAAGTTACAGTTTACTAGTATTTTGCCCCTATAAAATAATTCCCCTTGGCCAAGTAGGGAGTGGCTAGTATATGACCAGGGTGACATATTGAACCAAGCACTGATAACACTTTGTTACAGCTCGCCAACATGTTTTGAATCAAATCACTTTTATTGTTGATTTCCTTCAACAACAGGCCATGATCTGGGCTAGAAATCAATTTTCAATACCACTAGTCAAATGGGAAAGTAGTAGTCCATGAACAAAATCCAACTTAATACATTATTTAATACAAAATATTAATCAACAAGATAAGCAATATCAAATTTTGACTAGCTAATCCGGCAGGCAGTTTTTTCGAAATACTAGTCCAGATGGAGATAACACTTATCTCAGACTACTGGGCTACCCTTTCTGTCCAGCCCTGACCCTGCATGAAACATTTTACTAGATAATGCTGAAATGCTAATTAAGGAACTATCGTGTTTTTTTAAGATTTTATCATTTATTTGAACAGACTTAAATTTGCACATTTAACGATGCCAAATGTTACTCTAGGCATTGTACGTGGTAACCTAAATGAAGCTGTTACATTCAGGTTTCAAACTATCTGCCCCTCGTAGCCTTAAATATCAAGCAATTTATAATTATTGGGATAGTTTTTCACCTCTGCAAGCTACAGGCAAATATTCATACTCCAGGTCTTGTGGTTCTTAAGAAGAAACAGTTGGGAGATTGTTTAACATATTTGTGACATATGACCTTGGATATTATTTGAACAATTATTGCTTTTCATGACATGGACAGACATAATTTTGTTTCTCCTGGATAAAATACTAGCTATTTCCTACCAACTCTACTAGAGATAATTATTTCACTTCAGAATAGTAAAAAAACATGTTACTATGTGTATCTCAAGTGGAACATTGAACAAACTATTGACCTTTATTTCATGAAACAGTTTTGAGGGGCTATCATAAAGCTGCTGAACATGAACCAATAATACTTACTTCCTCTAGTTATTGTGGCATTGTTGTACTTGCCAACACTAATGGCTCCCTCATATATTGGAGCTCCATCTTTAAGCTTAAACTGATACACTCCTACATGTTCGTTCGATGCACCTGGAACTTCGGTTTTATCTACCGCATCGGCACAAATCCCAATCTTGTATAAATATTTATTATCAACATCCTCTGCTTTGTATCTGTAAAGAACAAAAATGAGGTGCAGAAATGTACGATCAGATCATGGATGATTTAACTATTGTCTATAATATTATTTGGTGAACATGTATTTATTTCATGATTTTCCTTCAAATGACTCATATACCATACCAGCCCTATTACGGAGGGAGACTCCCATTTTTTTACACTGAAATTTAATATTTTGCCATCTGTGACAGTGAAATTGCTGAATTATTCTTATATTCCAAGATCTATTAATTTCATCAGAAAGAAATACTCAAAATGTGTTATTTTAAAGGGTTATTTTGTCTTTAGGGTGTATATACACACACATTTTATTAGTTTTTAACTTTGAGCATGCAGAATCTGTTTGTGGAAATTTCAAAAGCTTGGCAAGTGTGATATACGATGATTTAACTTTTAAAATAAGCAACAGCAGTTTTATGTATACATCACTTCCCTAACAATCAATATTCTAGCTGTGTAAAAGAATTTAAAAGTTTGCCCATTTACTGCTCTAGAAATTGCATTCATTTCCTCTATAAACATATTGTTTGGCTTTGTCTTGTTGAATAAAGAAGTTGCTATGGAAAGGGTAAGGTATGTAAGGTATCCAGAAGAATGCTAATAACAAGAAATCCAAGAAAGATCTCGGCACCCAACATTGAAAACTAAGTTTCCTCTGGCCCTGACGTCCGTCGTCCAGAATTACGCTATCGCAGTTAGCGTTGGTCCACAACAGACATCTATCTGTCAAAATGTCTAAGTCTTGTGTCAGGGCCAGAGGAGCCTCGGGCTACCAGGTGGCTCCACACTTTCGCAATTAACAAGCAAAATTCGTTGAAACTTTCATATAATGGTTATGCAACTATGTAGATTTTATGAAAATCTAAACATTCCGATAGTTTGGGGACTTTTTTGGAAAAAATACCAAAAAATTGAATTTTCATCAATTTTAATATTTTCCGTTTTTTTTTGTGTGTGGCATTGTTCGGAACAATAACAACAATAATAAAATGAAAAGAAGCATTTCTAATTAACCCTACAAATATTTTATTTATCGCAAAATATGTAACACATGTTACACAAAGTGTTTTTATTGAATTTGTACGGATACAAGTGATTATCTACAAGCTAAAAGTAAACAGGACACAAAGATCTATACATATAGAATGGGAAATTGAACAAAATATAAACAATGGCTTTATAATTAATTTATTTTACATTTTACAATCACTTCGATCCGGGTGAGAGTTATCTTCCTTGAAAAAAATCGGAACTTTTTGCAGAGGGGTGACATTTACACAATGACAGTTGTCTCTGTTTACATATAACAAAAATGATGGAAATAAATTAAAAATATGATATCAAAATTATCAATTTATTGTTCTTTAATGGAACCAAATTACCCTCAGTCATGTACACTCATTCCACAGTTCGCTAACTCACGGTATATTTACATGTCAGGTACATATGTGACCAGAGGCTAACGCATGGTATGCCGTTCTCACGTGCACTCACACATGCATTTCATAGGTATCTTGATATTTTACAAAACATTATTTTCACAGAGTAAGTAGACTAAATTTGTAAACACAATTCGACAGAGCGAAACTCCCTCAACAGCGAAAATCGTAACGACCTCGAGCTTATGAACTCGTGTAAGCACGTGATATGCACATATGATGTCGGTACGTCCGCATTCCATGCGTTTCCTATATGACCTTCTTGAGGTCGTTTGGTCTCATGTCACTGTCTTCCCGTGAGTCTGTTTATGTCCATGAATTAGAAAGCTTTATTCCTGAAATACGTGTGATTATACATTTCCCGGTTAAAGCTCGATATCGGGTGTTGACATACTATTGTTTACCAGGGGCCTGTTCGTTTATGGGGAGCAACCGGTTTGACCGTTTCTAAAAGTTAAATCTCGATATCGGGTGTTGACATATCATCGGCACGCACATGTACTATTGTTTACCAGGGGCCTGTTCGTTTATGCGGAGCAACCGGTTTGACCGTTTCTAAAAGTAACAATTTCGGGTATAAATCCTGGCGGACCTGCAAATGTGTATGCAGGCCTTGCAAGGCTTTTTCAAGGCTCGCCTGAAAGCAGCATCAGATTACTAGGTCCGACCTTATTTAATAAACGAACAACAGTGGGCCGATCGGTTTGACCGTTTAAACGAAAACGGCCCAGGGGTTTTGCACTACGATATTGAATGGCCGATACGCAATACGGAAATGACGACATGGTGTACATGCACATTTCGATCAAGATAATCGAGTCCGAGCTGTACTTTTTCCGGAAGTACGTCACGAAAATGGACGCTGATGACGATGTGTGGAGCCACCTTAAGTACTTTCATCTCTTCTAGCGAACTATTATGTGACGTCATTGTTTATGACGTCACAACATCTACTTCAAATAAACAGTCTGAAAAATCTCCTAGAAATGTTCTGCTTAAATAGTTACATATATATAAAATGCTCTAAACGCAGTTCAGTCTCGTTCAGAAAGATAAGGAGATTATGTACAATAATCATAACTTTTGTTTTTAGTAAATGATAATTTTATTTGGAACACATTATCAAGTAAGATAAGATGGTGTGGAGCATTGTAACTATTACCGACTACGTGTATAAACGTACACGATGACAACAACGCTTTGTGTACGATAGACTGGTCATACAAGGAAACAAATTGTTACCGATTTCCCAGCAAGGGTTGGATGAGGGCCTCGATTTTCTCATTTTCTGCGGTATGCTGTGGAAACGTGCATCCTGCTGTTGCTTTGTGTATAACAGAGAGCAATGTTATCCCCAGAAGGAGAATGTTATGAAAAACGTAAATGCCCATATCTTTCACCAGGTCTTAAACCCAAAATGTCAAAATATTGCAGGATGCTCTGGTCCAAGGAGCATGTGATATGACGCGTCGCAAAGGAAGTGGATTTTGCTTGTAACGATCTCTGTGATTGGCTGTTCATGAGAATGTGTATAGGCAAATTCACACCATCTTATTCTAGTACCGGAATAAAACAACGATTGTAACCCGTATCGCGCAACTGTTGGCATTTCACACCGCATTCTCAATTCGTGACCTTCAAAATGGTTTAAGATCACATTTATTTAAAGAAATTATCTGATAGCTTAAAATGTCTTAAAAATAAACTCTCATCTGTTAATTAATGTTATGCATGCTTATGGATCTTTCTATTGTGCTAAAAAAGTGGGTTTTTTTTAAAAAAGTTGCTGGGCCTGTAATGAAAAATAAAAGAATTTCACATATTTTTGCTTTTCAAATGTATTTGTTAATGAGAAATATTTACAGAAACCATGAATAGCAGTCCATTAGACTGACAGAATTTTCACATGAAAAATGTCACAGAAAACTAAATAATAAGAGAATAAAGGTTGAAAGCTACTTTTGGGAGACTGGAAAAGAATTATGACATCAAATAATTATTTCTATATGTTTGCGACTCATAAGTGTAACACAATGACTGCTTCACATGATGGTATACAAGCCTAATATTGACTTTCGTATTTCCTTCCATACATACTCATTTTATGGACGAGTCTGCGATGCATAAAATCGCAATAAAGCACATCAACACATTTTTCATCGTCAAGAATTTCCAATAGTTCTTTTGCACTATATGTGACTTATAACTATTTCTCGCTATGTTGTTTCTAATACTTACAGCAAATACGTGTTAAGAAAACACAGTAGTGTTAGGGCTTGTCTCCAGTCATCAGGTACTGATCCTGTTTATTTCTTTAAATACACGCAGGTGAATATGATCTGGGCCTGGGCCGGGGATTTCGACGTTTTAAGCTTTTCCGGGGGTTTAAAGCGTCGCATTTGAATGAGACAATAGTTCTCTCGTGCACTATTTATAGTTTCATTTCTCGTACATATGTAATAGAGCGCAGGACTAAGTCCAATACGTTTGGTGTATCCTGTGCCCTTCCTCATTGGACAGAACTAAGTCCAATACGTTTGGTGTATCCTGTGCCTTTCCTCATTGGACAAGACTAAGTCCAATACGTGTGGTGTATCCTGTGCCATTCCTCATTGGACAGGACTAGGTCCGATACGCTTGGAGTGTCCTGTGCCCTTTCTGATTGGACAGGACTAAATCCAATACGTTTGGTTTATCCTGTGCCCTTCCTTATTGGACAGAACTAAGTCCGATACGCCTGGTGTGTCCTGTGCCCTTTCTGATTGGACAGGACTAAGTCCAATACGTTTGGTGTATCATGTTCCCTTCCTCATTGGACAAGACTAAGTCCAATACGTTTGGTGTATCCTGTGCCCTTCCTCATTGGACAGGACTAAGTCCAATACGTTTGGTGTATTCTGTGCCTTTCTTCATTGGACAGGACTAATTCCAATACGTTTGGTGTATCCTGTGCCCTTCCTCATTTGACAGGACTAAGTCCAATACGTTTGGTGTATTCTGTGCATTTCTTCATTGGACAGGACTAATTCCAATACGTTTGGTGTACCCTGTGCCCTTCCTCATTTGACAGGACTAAGTCCGATACGCTTGGTGTGTCCTGTTCCCTTCCTCATTGGACAGGACTAATTCCAAAACGTTTGGTGTATCCTGTGCCATTCCTCATTTGACAGGACTAAGTCCAATACGTTTGGTGTTTCCTGTGCCCTTCCTTATTGGACAAGACTAAGTCCAATACGTTTGGTGTATCCTGTGCCCTTCCTCATTTGACAGGACTAAGTCCAATACGTTTGGTGTGTCCTGTGCCTTTCCTCATTGGACAGGACTAAGTCCAATACGTTTGGTGTTTCCTGTGCCCTTCCTCATTTGACAGGACTAAGTCCAATACGTTTGGTGTGTCCTGTGCCCTTCCTCATTGGACAGGACTAAGTCCGATACGCTTGGTGTGTCCTGTTCCCTTCCTCATTGGACAGGACTAAGTCCAAAACGTTTGGTGTATCCTGTGTCCGTCCTCATTGGACAAGACTAAGTCCAATACGTTTGGTGTATCATGTGCCCTTCCTCATTGGACAGGACTAAGTCCAATACGTTTGGTGTATTCTGTGCCTTTCCTCATTGGTAACCGTATGCAGATGACACGTTATACACCAGATTTATATAGTGGACACACTTATATCAGGCGTATTCTCCTTCTTTCATTTGTATAAATTTAAAACATCCGACCTTCGGATACAGAATTTCGGACGAATTCTAGACTTTAAAAAACCCACCAACTCGTGTACCTAAGATGTAAATTTCTAAGTAAAGGTTAGAAGGCCATTTGTAGGTTCCCGTGCTAAATGGAGCTGTCGAGCCCGGAGGTTCACTGTTATTAAATGCAAGTGGTTCTTGCAATTGTAGTAAAAGCTGAATTCAAATTCAAAAGGATGGCCAGGTGACACAGTGTCCAGATAGCACCTTTCCGTGGTGTCTCCCTAGCTATAGGCGCCCATTTTGGTGATGTCTCCTTAGATATAGGTGACCATATCGGTGGTGTCGTCCTAGCTATAGGCGCCCATATCAGTGGTGTCATCCTAGCTATAGGCGCCCATTTCGGTGGTGTCATCCTAGCTATAGGCGCCCATTTCGGTGGTGTCAACCTAGCTAAATACGTTCATTGCGGTGGTGTCTCCCTAGCTATACGCGCCCATTTCGGTGGTGTCTCCCTAGATATCAGCGCCCACTTCAGTGGTGTCCCCTAGCTATAGGCGCCCATTTTGTTGATGTCTCCCTAGCTGTAAGCGCCCATTTAAAAGGGGCCCTCTAGCTAAAAGCGCCAATTTCGGTGGTGTCCCGCTAGCTATAGGCGCTCATTTCGGTGGTATCCCCCTAGCTATAGGTACCAATTTCGGTGGTGTCTCCCAAAGCTATAGGCGCCCATTGCGGTGGTGTCTCCCTAGCTATAGGCGCCCAATTCGGTGTTGTCTCCCAAAGCTATAGGCGCCCATTTCGGTAGTGTCTCCCTAACTATAGGTGCCAATATTGGTGGTGTAACCTTAGCTATAGGCGCACATTTCGGTGGTGTCTCCCTAGCTATATGCGCACATTTCGGTGGTGTCTCCCTATCTAAAGGCCCCCATTTCGGTGGTATCTCCTTAGCTATAGGCACCCCCTTTTCCGTGGTGTCTCCCTAGCTATAGGCGCCCATTTAGATGGTGTCTCCCTAGCTATAGGCGCCCATTTCGATGGTGTCTGCCAAGCTATATGCGCCCATTTCGGTGGTGTCTCCCTAGCTATAGGCGCCCATTTCGATGGGATCTCTCTAGCTATAGACGCCCCCATTATGGTGGTGTCTCACTAGCTATAACCGCTCATTTCAATGGTGTCTCCCCTAGCTATAGGCGCCCATTTCGATGGGGTCTGCCAAGCTATATGCGCCCATTTCGGTGGTGTCTCCCTAGCTATAGGCCCCCATTTCGATGGGATCTCTCTAGCTATAGACGCCCACATTATGGTGGTGTCTCACTAGCTATAGCCGCTCATTTCAATGGTGTCTCCCCTAGGTTTAGGCGTCTATTTCGGTACGCTTGGCAAGGGGATACCCGAATCTGGGTTGTAAATAGTTGTGTCTTCTGGCTTGAAGGTATAGAAAACGGAGGGATCGAGGAATATAGTTGAACTGGACTGGGTCGATTGTAGGTGACCAGGTAGCTTAATTGGTAGAGCGTCCGTCTTGAATTCAGAAGGTCCCGGGATCGAACCCCGGTCTGTTCCGTACATTTTCCCCCTGCTGTTACATATGTATATCGCTGGTAAATTATGAAAGACGTTGACTATAATCGAGACAATTAACATGAGCATAAACTTCCTTTCTGTTTGTAAGCAGAGGAAAGGTACCAGAAATCTCTGATTATATATAGCTATTGTTAAACCTCATGAGGGTTTTTCGACTCTATGGATCGGTAGTTAAGGTGTGTCTTTTTAAAAAGAAATGTCTATTAGAATGACACTTTTAATGGCATCAGATCTCCTCGATAGTCAGTGCTTCTAGACGTATTTTTTTCTCGCTTTCAAAAAATTATGCATTTGTAACCAGCTTACCCTGAAAAAAAAGTTATAAAACGGTTTGTTTTGATCAGCGAAAGAAACTTCAACAAGACAACATCTCTTATAAAAAAAATATATATGACTATTATGTATTGCGTCTGGTGCAGAGGATGCGTAAATATCATTAAATAAATCGGTCGAGATTTAAGAATTGTGTCGTGTCCCCCTAAATATTATACACAGTTATCGTTCTTGTATAGCTCTTCAGTCAAAGTCAAAATGGCAACCATGACTAGCGAATTGCAACCCGGCATGTTTTCGTCCGGTTTGTCCTGCCCAGATTGGCTAAATGCTGAGCATGAAACAGGTGTAAGTTTACCATTTAGAGATTGTGACATTTGGGGTTATAATGTTTAAGAATTGCTTGCTTTATCTGTACCATAAATAGCTATAGTAATGTTCAACCGTTAGCCTACCGACATTTGTACCTTTTTTTTCAGAATTTCTGTCTTGATAACTTAGGTCTTTCATTCCTGATATTTGTTTTGTGACTCTCCTTTGTACATTTTCAATTTCTTTATTGTCCTTTTGTACGTATGGATTCTATATGCTAGCTCCGTATTCCAGATGTGGTCTCACGAGTGTTATACGTTGATTCGTCTAAATATGTATACAATCTTCTAGTTGTACCATAATCCTGTTTGCTATGTTGACCGATTCGTGTATATGATCATCAAATTTAAGTGTGTTGTCTGTGATTACTCCGATATCCTTTTCTTTGTTAATGTTTTCCAAAATTACTTTTATCCTCTTTATTGGTGTCTTTGCGTAAATAAAGCGGCGCAGTATTTTTTAATATTTTTTCCTAATGAAAGTACTTAACATTTTACCGGGTGAAATTTCAACATCCAAGTATCTGACCATATTTGGATCTGGTCGAGGTCTTCTTGCAGGTTCATATTTTCGCTGTGATTATACATTTTTGTGTCATCTGCAAATATGGCAAGTATAAAATAATTGAACTATTTAAATGTATAAGCTAATAACTGTAGAATGAAAAGAACCAAAAACCCTTGGTAAAATAAAAATTGTACTCATGCATCTGTATTTGTATATTTTAGACAACTATTATGGCAGTACAGTTTGATGGAGGAGTAGTGATTGGCGCCGACTCTAGGACTACCACAGGGTAATAGGCCAGTGTTTTGTTGGAAAATTTTCCAATTATTTATAAGCGTAACATGTTTCAGAGTTTTCAAAAACTTCTACTTTTAATGTTATTTTCAGTAACCACAACTGACCTACAAATTATGAATGCACTTTATAGAATTAAAAAAGACACATTGGTTTAAATGCAATAAAAACAGGGCCATACAAAATCTTGACTTTGTGTGTATTTGTAGAGCTTACATTGCGAACCGTGTGACAGACAAACTGACCAAGGTGACCGACAAAATCTACTGCTGTAGATCAGGATCTGCTGCTGACACCCAGGCAATAGCAGACATCGTCACCTACCACCTCAACTTCCACAAGTAAGGCAAATCTTACTCTACAAGTAGTTTATAGCAAACTTACAAAATGAAGCATGGTGAGGAAAATACTTATATTTTGATGTTTTACTTGCAAGTACAAGATGGAAAATGATGACAATACCCCAGTATGATATTTACACTTAAATTTGAATTGTTATATTTTCTGATAAAATGGAATTTGGTCACAAAATAACATTCACAAATTTTAACATTTTCTGACAATGGAATTTGATGACAATATGAATTAAAATTGTTATATTTTCTGATAGAATGGAATTTGATCACAAAATAGCATTTTCTGACAATGGAATTTGATGGCAATATAATATTCAAATTGTTATATTTTCTGATAGAATGGAACATAATGATAATACAATATCAAATTGTTATATTTTCTGACAGAATGGAGCATGATGACTATATAATATTCAAATTGTAACATTTTCTGATTGAATGGAACATGAATATTGATGGCAATATGATATATATATAATATTTGAATTGTTATATTTTCTGATAGAATGGAATATGATGACAATATAATATTCAATTTATTATATTTTCTGATAGAATGGAACATGATGACAATATAATATTCAATTTATTATATTTTCTGATAGAATGGAACATGATGACAATACAATATTCAATTTATTATATTTTCTGTACGAATGGAACATTATGACAATATGATACTTACACTGTAATACTTTCTTACAGAATTGAAATTGTAATATTTTCTGATAGTATGGAACCTGATGACACTATGATATTTACACTGTACTGTTATACTTACAGAATGGAGCATGGCGAGGAGCCACCTGTGAAGGTTGCAGCCAATGTGTTCCGGGATTTGTGTTACAACTACAGGGACAGTCTGAGTGCTGGTATCATTGTAGGGGGCTGGGACAAACAGGAGGGGGGACAGGTAAGACCCAAGCACATTTTGTGTTCGAAGATCTTCATCTGGAGCAAAGTGCCATTTTAACAAGAAAAAATATGACCGCAGTTTTATCCAGCAAGGACGAAAAAAAACCTATCTTAATCTCTGAATACCGTATTTGACAGCAAATAAGACTGCTGTCGCAAGTAAGATGTCTCCCCACTTTCGAAAATGATCTGGGAATGGGATGGGTGCCTGCAATTAAGCTCCCTCCCTAATTTTGTCTCTCCCCCAAAAAATTGTATGTTTATTTTTGTTTCTGGACATAAGCAAATTAGCTAACTGGATGCAAAAAAAACATTAACTCAACTCAATCTAATTAAAATTATATCTTCACATCGCTCCCGTTTACTGATATGTCACGTTGAAGATCTAACAACATCCCGTAGAGGGTCATGTTCAGGCGACCTTTGCATTAACCAATCAGATGAGAGCTTACGCATTTCTGTAAGTGATGATGTAATGATTTCGGAACACACTTGCTATGATAAAAGACCGAGAGGTGTCAAATGAGCATCAAGACAACAGTTGTACAATTTGTGGATTTTGCTTTGAAATAAGAGAGACTTCCTCTTCTGGTGATGTTGTCGTTTAAAAGTTTAACAACCTGAAACTTAAATTAACCAATGACAGGCTTCGCAATATTCAAACAATCACTGGACCAGACGAAAAAGTGGATTTTGGGCTACGAGGTGTCTGCATTAAAAGCTACAGATCCTGCTTTCTGATTGGTTTAAAGAAAGAGTTATGTCGCGTTTTGATTGGCTTGTTATAAATACGATAATGCATTCATGTTGACCTCTGACGTGACCCTCTACGGGATGTTGTTAGATCTTCAACGCGACATATCAGTAAACGGGAGCGATGTGAAGATATAATTTTAATTAGATTGAACTCAACTTAAATTACAACAAATTGTTATGTCACTGAATCACTAATCTCTAATCTTATAATGACAGAAATAAAGGAATTGATTTTAAAGACCAATATTTGAAGCATAATTTATTTGTACCAGGTATTTGATTAAGTGTTTCCTATCATCCCTAACAGGTATTCACTGTACCATTGGGTGGCATGCTGACAAGAATGCCATTTGCAACTGGTGGTTCTGGCAGTACTTACATCTATGGCTATGTCGATTCAAACTTCAAGGAGAACATGTCGAAAGAGGAATGCTTAAAGTTTGTATCGAACGGTGAGTAACGCAGCTATAAATTGATAATGAAAACTTCAAAAATAATCAAAAATATCATTTACTCTATAAACCTGAGTTTCCTCTGGCCCTGACCAGATTAAGACGTTTTGACAGATATATCTATGCAAGTGTTAGCCCACAACACATATCTATCTGTGAATAAGTCTGGTGTCAGGGTCAGAGGAAACTCGGACTACTTCTCCAGTTAACTTATAATCAACAGGATTATTATTGTACATTTTATATAACATATTGTTTCATAGTGTTTTTGGTTAAGCCACAGGTTATGATGATTTTTTTTAGAAACGGTTTTGTTTGAAGTTCTAGAGAAAATAGATTGGTGCACTTTAATATTGAACTGTTGAAACAAGTTGTTTGAACTCTTTGCCTGCTGAAGGCCCAGTAATCTCCCCATAGACCATGGCACTCAGATTTGTTGTTTGTTTTCACATTCAATGTTAAATATATATGTTCAAACTCGTACATTTATTGATGATCATTTTCATCTATTACAGTGACCGCTTTTGCTTAAGAATTGTCTTTGATCCTATGTGATGTTTCTATCCTTTATATAAGTTTGTGGTAAAACATCCTTGTCTAGCTTGTGCTAGGTGATATATAAGTCTGTGGTAAAACATACTTGTCTAGCTTGTGCTAGGTGATATATAAGTACGTGGTAAAACATCCTTGTCTAGCTTGTGCTAGGTGATATATAAGTCTGTGGTAAAACATCCTTGTCTAGCTTGTGCTAGGTGATATATAAGTATGTGGTAAAACATCCTTGTCTAGCTTGTGCTAGGTGATATATAAGTACGTGGTAAAACATCCTTGTCTAGCTTGTGCTAGGTGATATATAAGTATGTGGTAAAACATCCTTGTCTAGCTTGTGCTAGGTGATATATAAGTATGTGGTAAAACATCCTTGTCTAGCTTGTGCTAGGTGATATATAAGTATGTGGTAAAACATCCTTGTCTAGCTTGTGCTAGGTGATATATAAGTATGTGGTAAAACATCCTTGTCTAGCTTGTGCTAGGTGATATATAAGTATGTGGTAAAACATCCTTGTCTAGCTTGTGCTAGGTGATATATAAGTATGTGGTAAAACATCCTTGTCTAGCTTGTGCTAGGTGATATATAAGTATGTGGTAAAACATCCTTGTCTAGCTTGTGCTAGGTGATATATAAGTATGTGGTAAAACATCCTTGTCTAGCTTGTGCTAGGTGATATATAAGTATGTGGTAAAACATCCTTGTCTAGCTTGTGCTAGGTGATATATAAGTATGTGGTAAAACATCCTTGTCTAGCTTGTGCTAGGTGATATATAAGTATGTGGTAAAACATCCTTGTCTAGCTTGTGCTAGGTGATATATAAGTATGTGGTAAAACATCCTTGTCTAGCTTGTGCTAGGTGATATATAAGTATGTGGTAAAACATCCTTGTCTAGCTTGTGCTAGGTGATATATAAGTATGTGGTAAAACATCCTTGTCTAGCTTGTGCTAGGTGATATATAAGTATGTGGTAAAACATCCTTGTCTAGCTTGTGCTAGGTGATATATAAGTATGTGGTAAAACATCCTTGTCTAGCTTGTGCTAGGTGATATATAAGTATGTGGTAAAACATCCTTGTCTAGCTTGTGCTAGGTGATATATAAGTATGTGGTAAAACATCCTTGTCTAGCTTGTGCTAGGTGATATATAAGTATGTGGTAAAACATCCTTGTCTAGCTTGTGCTAGGTGATATATAAGTATGTGGTAAAACATCCTTGTCTAGCTTGTGCTAGGTGATATATAAGTATGTGGTAAAACATCCTTGTCTAGCTTGTGCTAGGTGATATATAAGTATGTGGTAAAACATCCTTGTCTAGCTTGTGCTAGGTGATATATAAGTATGTGGTAAAACATCCTTGTCTAGCTTGTGCTAGGTGATATATAAGTATGTGGTAAAACATCCTTGTCTAGCTTGTGCTAGGTGATATATAAGTATGTGGTAAAACATCCTTGTCTAGCTTGTGCTAGGTGATATATAAGTATGTGGTAAAACATCCTTGTCTAGCTTGTGCTAGGTGATATATAAGTATGTGGTAAAACATCCTTGTCTAGCTTGTGCTAGGTGATATATAAGTATGTGGTAAAACATCCTTGTCTAGCTTGTGCTAGGTGATATATAAGTATGTGGTAAAACATCCTTGTCTAGCTTGTGCTAGGTGATATATAAGTATGTGGTAAAACATCCTTGTCTAGCTTGTGTTAGGTGATATATAAGTATGTGGTAAAACATCCTTGTCTAGCTTGTGCTAGGTGATATATAAGTATGTGGTAAAACATCCTTGTCTAGCTTGTGTTAGGTGATATATAAGTATGTGGTAAAACATCCTTGTCTAGCTTGTGCTAGGTGATATATAAGTATGTGGTAAAACATCCTTGTCTAGCTTGTGCTAGGTGATATATAAGTATGTGGTAAAACATCCTTGTCTAGCTTGTGCTAGGTGATATATAAGTATGTGGTAAAACATCCTTGTCTAGCTTGTGCTAGGTGATATATAAGTATGTGGTAAAACATCCTTGTCTAGCTTGTGCTAGGTGATATATAAGTATGTGGTAAAACATCCTTGTCTAGCTTGTGCTAGGTGATATATAAGTATGTGGTAAAACATCCTTGTCTAGCTTGTGCTAGGTGATATATAAGTATGTGGTAAAACATCCTTGTCTAGCTTGTGCTAGGTGATATATAAGTATGTGGTAAAACATCCTTGTCTAGCTTGTGCTAGGTGATATATAAGTATGTGGTAAAACATCCTTGTCTAGCTTGTGCTAGGTGATATATAAGTATGTGGTAAAACATCCTTGTCTAGCTTGTGTTAGGTGATATATAAGTATGTGGTAATACATCCTTGTCTAGTTTGTGCAAGGTGATATATAAGTACGTGGTAAAACATCCTTGTCTAGTTTGTGTTAGGTGATATATAAATATGTGGTAAAACATCCTTGTCTAGCTTGTGCTAGGTGATATATAAGTTTGTGGTAAAACATCCTTGTCTAGCTTGTGTTAGGTGATATATAAGTTTGTGGTAAAACATCCTTGTCTAGCTTGTGTTAGGTGAAGTCGCCTCAGAAATCTGTTGTATTCACATTATTTTACAGTGATAAGCTTGTGTTATGTGACCTTGATCTTTGATTCTGTTGGGAGATGTATTTTTGAGATAGTGTATGTAGCAATGTTTGCGAGTGACACAATCTGAAAGTGAAAATAACTTTTTCTGTAAACTATTCTTGAAAACCTTGTGGACTACTCATGTAATGAAGTATAAATCTTGCTTGGAGAAATTGTTAAACATCAGATGCCTCCTTTAGCGTTTTCACAGCTAAACACAGTCTAACCAAAGTCAGTGAAGAGGAAAATATTGCTCATAGTGACATACATTTTATATTGGGGAAGTACTCGAGATGTATCCACATGTGATATTTGATGACTGGATTGGAGTAACAGAGCTAAATGTAAAGTCTTACCAAATTCGGTGAAGCAGAAAGTACAGGTCATAAAAAAACCAAGTGATTATAGCCAGTAGTGTATATACTTTTAAAGAAAAGACCCATGTTGATGATTGTGTTTTACATTTTAAAGGTCTGGCCTTAGCCATGAGTCGTGATGGCTCCAGTGGCGGTGTTATCAGGATGGCTTGTATCAACGGAGACGGAGTGGAGCGCTTTGTCATGACAGGGGACCAAATACCGAAGTTTTACGAGGCTTATTGATAGTAATCTTTCCTACCAATCATTCATAAAATATCATCCGTTATGTACAAGATATAGACGTAAGCAGATCTGTGGGACGGAGATCATGGGATGTTACATGGACCATCAAGATTTTGAAAAAGGAGGAGCAATGTTTCAGATTTAATATAATTGTCATTGTTTTAGTGAAAAATCCGCTCTGCTCTTCAGGAGTGAGGACTTAAACATTTATAGGGATAGAAGTTTACAAAAAACATGAAAAATATTGACTACTACGGGGAGTAGTGTCTGAACACGGTTCTCTGTCCGAGTGTCAGAAGTGACTTGTTACGACCACACGTCCGTGTCCTGTGTGATCCACGCCCTTGAAGTGCACAGCCAGATATGTAGAAAGTGTCAAGTCCTTATAAGTGCTAATGTATGGTGTTAATGTCATGTCAGTGTGCAAGTTGTTTCACGAGACAATAAAACATGTTTACCTGATCATATTTCTGTACATTGTTTCCCTTTCCTTATATAGTTAAACTGCATACTTATCTTCAAATGCATGCTATACTAGTACTACTGTTTCCTATCGGAGTTTGGAACAGAAATACAGTCATTTAAATGTGTGTTTTTTCAAGCTGAATTTAAAGTGAAGAGTTTCATTTGAGATCACTTCAGTTTCATTAAACCTGCTTTACTCCTTCATTTCAGCTCATAACTATCTTTTTCATGAACAGTGAAAATTATGAAAAGTTTATGACTTATAGATAAGGTGTGACCAGGAGTGATGCAGGCTCATTGTGACATTTTAAGTGTATCATTTAGTGGTAGGGACAATTCTGACATTTTAGGTGTGACCATTAGTGATACAGGCTAATTCTGACATTTTAAGTGTATCATTTAGTGGTACGGCAATTCTGACATTTTAGGTGTGACCATTTGTGATACAGGCTCATTCTGACATAGGTGCGACCATGAGTGATACAGACCCATTCTGATATTTGTCAAGGTGTGACCGTGAGTGATACAGGCCCATTCTGACATTGGTCAAGGTGTGACCGTGAGTGATACAGGCCCATTCTGACATTGGTCAAGGTGTGACCAAGAGTGATACAGCCCCATTCTATCTTTTTTAGTGTGACCACGAGTGATACAGGCCCATTCTGACATTTTAGGTGTGACAATGAGTGATACAGGCCCATTCTGACATTTTAGGTGTGACCATGAGTGATACAAGCCCATTCTGACTTTTTCAGTGTGACCATAAGTGATACAGACCCATTCTGACTTTTTAGGTCACCTGAGCTTTAGCTCAAGTGACCTATTGCTATCCGTCTTCGTCCGTCGTCCGTTAACATTTTACATTTTCAACTTAAGCTGAAATACTGGCAAAGGGATTTCATTAATATTTCATGGGAAGGTTACTGACATCTCCCTGACAAAGTGTCAGGGCTGCCATTTTGGAAAAACAATTTCAAACATGAAGTCAAGTTCTGCTGGGCCGATTGAACTGAGACTTTGTAGGAATGATCGACTTATTGTCTTGAAAAAAGTTGTTATTTTTCGGGTCGATCAGAAATCCAATATGGCCACCATTTTGAAAAACTATTTCAAACTTAAAGTCAAGTTCTGCTGGGCCGATTGAACTGAAACTTTGTAGGAATGATCAACTCATGGTCCTGACAATGTTGTTATTTTTTGGGTCGATCAGAAATACAATTTGGCTGCGGCCGCTTTTTTGAAAATAACTATTTCAAACTTAAAAACAAGTTCTAATAGGCCGATCTAACTGAAACTCGGTCTAGGAACGATCAGCTCATGGTCCTGACAAACTTAAGTTAACGTTATACTAAACTATTTTTTACTCAAATTGGTACATATTTCAACAACAAAAATACTGTAGGACTCAGGTGACCGTTAAGGCCCATGGGCCTCTTGTTTCAGTGTGACCATGCATGAGTGATAAAAGCCCATTCTGACTTTTTCATTGTGACCATGAGTGATACAGGCCCATTCTATCTTTTCAGTGTGACCACGAGTGATACAGGCCCATTCAGTCGTTTTCAGTGACCATGAGTAGTAATACACGCCCATTTGAGACTTTTTCAGTGTGACCATAAGTGATACAGGCCCGTTCAGTTGTTTTCAGTGTGACCATGAGTGAAACACGCCCATTTGAGACTTTTTTCAAATGAATGACCTTCACCTATATTCAAGGTCACAGGGGTCAAATATGTTTAAAACTTTAAACAACTTCTTCTGAATAACCAAAATGCACAGGGTGATGATATTAGGCAAGTAGCATGCTGAGATGAAGGGCTACAAAGTTTGTTCAAATGAATGACCTTCACCTATATTCAAGGTCACAGGGGTCAAATATGTTAAAAACATTAAACATCTTCTTCTCAATAACCACAATGCCCAGGGTGATGATATTTCGCCAGTAGCTAGCTGAGATGAAGGGCTACAAATTTTGTTCAAATGAATGACCTTCACCCATATTCAAGGTCACAGGGGTCAAATATGTTTAAAACTGTAAACAACTTCTTATGAATAACCAAAATGCCCTGGGTGATGATATTCAGCCAGTAGCATGCTGGGGTAAAGGGCTATCAAGATTTTTCAAATGAATGACCTTCACCTATATTCAAGGTCACAGGGGTCAAATTTGTGAAAAACATTGAACATCTTCTTCTCAATAACCAAAATGCCCAGGGTGATGATATTTGGCCAGTAGCTAGCTGAGATGAAGGGCTACAAAGTTTGTTCAAATGAATGACCTTCACCCATATTCAAGGTCACAGGGTCCAAATATGTTTAAAACTTTAAACAACTTCTTCTGAATAACCAGTAGCATGCTGGGGTAAAGGGCTATCAAGATTGTTCAAATGAAAGACCTACACCTATATTTAAGGTCACAGGGGTCAAATATGTTTAAAACTTTAAACAACTCATTCTGAATAACCAAAATGCCCAGGGTGATGATATTTAGTCAGTAGCATACTAAAATTAACAGGGTCTTTTGAATGAATTTTAATCATAAATACTGATATTTTGCCTGTAGCTTTATTTTAGATCACTTTTAAGGCTACAAGTGTGAGTTTTATACCAGGTGAGCGATGCAGGCCCATTGGGCCTCTTGTTTTCAGTGTGACCATGAGTGACACAGGCCCATTCTGACTTTTTTCAGTGTGACCATGAGTGATACAAGCCCATTCTGACTTTTTCGGTGTGACCGTGAGTGATACAGGCCCATTCTGACTTTTTAGGTGTGACCATGAGTGATACAAGCCCATTCTGACATTTTAGGTGTGACCACGAGTGATACAGGCCCATTCTGACTTTTTCAGTGTGACCATGAGTGATACAGGCCCATTCTGACTTTTAAGTGTGACCATGAGTGATACAAGCCCATTCTGACATTGGTCAAGGTGTGACCATGAGTGATACAGGCCCATTCTGACTTTTAAGTGAGACCATGTGTGATACAGGCCCATTCTGACTTTTTAAGTGAGACCATGAATGAAACAGGCAGTCATTGATTTTTCTCAAGATGAAAATATTCCAACATACCAGATACAACTTGTATATCTGATCATTTGACCTTCAAAGTAGGTCAAGGTCATTTACATGAAAAAACTTTTTGCATTCCATTCAAGGTACCAACTGGCCCAATACCAGGACCCTGGGGATTTGTTTTTAAGCAGAGTTTATGCCAGATGAGTTGAATCAATGTTCTACTAGTAATTTGTTTCAATCAGGTGTCAAAAGTCAAATTCTAGAATTATAAGGACTTGACTCATATATCATATCATATATAATATGCAGCATATTTGTCATGTATTACAAGTTGAATAATAGTTCTGGTAATCTATAAACAAAAATGACATTAACAGCATTTTCAAACATGATATTTAATATTATGATATACAATACAACTGTTGTCAACATGATTTACAGATCAATAATCAAATTGTAGATCAATCTTTTTTTGTGTATTTCATACAACAAAATATATATCGATAATAACAAGCACATAAATAGAACAATAACTCCACAGAGGTGGATGTCACCTGCTGGCACTGCAGCCATACTGATTTGTCAAATTTGAGTCAAAATAAAAATTGAGCAGGTAACCGAGAGAAGAGACGTGTAGAAAGCATCACAAAATTCAAAGCATTCTTTTCTTGGTTTATAATTCGGAAACCATATGATTTTTCACAAAGGCTGCTTGCAGCCATATTAATTTTCAGATTTGGTTCAAAATCAAACTTGAGCAGATAATAGATGCTGTAGGTATGTGCAACAAGTTCATTAAATTTAAACAATTTTTCAACCGTTTTTTGCGTGATTTCCGATTTACCAACGCGGACAGGTTGATTCCAATGTCTCTACAATTAACAATAGTTTTCTTCTTTGAAAGATGATCATACAATGATGTTTCATACATAATGACAATACCATACAGTAGGAATTATCAGCATATATTTCAACAGAATGTTCACCCTATTTCAAACATTTTGTTTTGTTAAAGATGATAACAAGCGACACTTGAAATATGATTCTTGCATAATATTCACAATGAAGTGGTTACTGTTTGCACAAAGCCATTCTGGTCTCTGTGGAGTGGTGCAAAGAAATTTGAACCAAAAATATAACAAAGATAATTTAGCGCTTTCCAATACTTTTTCAGCTGATTTTAGAAAATTGACCATCACAGAAACACTCCTTAATACACCACAAGGAGATATGTGTCGATAGCTTTCCCATCAATACTCATTGATCTATTAGCATTCACAAGGAAAGACAGAAATGAAGGAACATTTACAGTGCCTTGATGACTGGTACATAAATACAAGTCAATTACTGGAATTTCATGATACATAGTTTTGACCTATAAAATGCGAACAAAGATGAACACATTCAAACATCTTACAAATATTTTGTCAAGCACATATAACAAGATGTTACACACACACAAACCGAATGAATATATATCTGATTTCACAGTACAAAAACAATGACATTAAACAAGTGATATATTAAATAAACTCAAATCAATTAACATTTTGTTTTGAGATCACAATTGTGATTAAATAATACATTTTTTGAGTTCTAAATTAATTTCATAGATAACATTACGAATTGAATTCTTTATGAAATCATTCAATGAACTAGAACACTATGTACCTTAAAACTTCATGTCCACTGCATTAGTCTTACAGAAATTCATATTAAAGGCGTTAAAAAGTGAAGTACAACCAGGGCTGTACAAAATGTTTTACGGGCCCACTTTGAAAACCCCCTGATGTGTATTCTTCGCACACAACACTCTGTTCTACTCCTATAACATAAGAGGCCACTAATCAGCTATGATTGTGCTGACTGCAACAGCGCTTGTCAGAAGTATCTTGTCATGTTAAATCTCTAACATTGTTGGAATACACAGATCTAATGTATAACGGGAAACTTTCGTCCTGCATCCATAAAATCAACTTTCGCTCTGTGTTCATTTTACCCTTACATTAAATTACTGTATATTATGCTGTCTACTTATATTGGCTGTAATGATAAATTCGCTCTCATTATGGAGGGCTAAAAAGGTGCGAATTAAACTGCCGCAAAACTTTCTGTTTGTACCTATCACTTGCATGTTCCGAGACCTACATCCTTTTTTTCTATTTTTTTCTTCTTATTTGAAACCATCATGGAAGTGTTTACCTTTGCACCTACCATAACAGATCATCGAGTATAATACCACGTTTTTGATCTCCCTTTAATGGTTATAGTGAAATAATCCACTTATGTGCGTGTATCATGGTGGAATATATGAGGGCGAGGAAATAATTAACGAATGCTGCTTGCTTGAATAATGATACTTCTCTCATACCTGTGTGCAAGATTGAACTATCTCATGTAAAAAGAAAAGCAGTCGCAAATATATATCTTTCTTACATCTCATGTGTGGGACGATAACACCAGATGGTAACATCGAAATCAGGACAATAAACACATGGTGTCATGCTCCACAATGAAGTCATGTATGATCGTCTCAGAACCTGTATTTTAGCCTGGGCTCCTCTAGGAGAACCTATATTTCAGCCTGGGCTCCTCTAGGAGAACCTGTATTTTAGCCTGGGCTCCGCCATGAGAATCTGAATTTTAGCCTGGGCTGCTCCATGAGAATCAGTATTTTAGCCTGGGCTCCTCAATGAGAATCTGTATTTAGCCTGGGCTCTGCCATGAAAACCTGTATATTAGCCTGGGCTCCTCCATGAGAACCTGTATTTTAGCCTGGGCTCCTCCATGAGAATCTGTATTTTAGCCTGGGCTCCTCAATGAGAACCTGTATTTAGCCTGGGCTCCTCTATGAGAATCTGTATTTTAGCCTGGGCTGCTCCATGAGAATCTGCTTTTTAGCCTGGGCTCCTCAAAGAGAATCTGTATTTTAGCCTGGGCTGCTCTATGAGAATCTGTATTTTAATCTTACCTCCTCTGTGAGTATCAGTTTTTTTCAGTCAGTATTTAAATTGTACTTCTTTCTTAGTTGAATAGTCCTTTGTAGACTAAATGTCTAAAGGATATTGAAAAAGTCCCTTCTTTACCTTAACTTATTCATCCCTTAAATCACATTTGAACCTTTGAACCAAAATCGAAGACTGGGGAAGTTCAGTTTGAATGTGTATGAATGAGTTAACTTGCAGTAAAATCTTTGTGAATAATTCATACCAATTTGGGTGGAATTTCTCTAATTTTTCATCATATGTACTCAATTGTGAGAACCACGAAAGTCTAGCTGAACCTAACCGTTTATTAATACTGTAATGTGTATTCCTTTAATTCACAAGCTCTATGATCACAGAAATTATATGCATTTGTTAAATGATTCATAATATTCATGCATTTGTTATGTTCAGTTAGCAAGATCTTAATGTGGTCAATCAAAGTTGGCTGAATTATTTTTTTAACAGAAAAATGAGCCTCTGTTAAATTGGAATAAGTTCTTATCTCCTAGTGCCTCGTCGCTTGGCTTTGGTCAAGGTGCGTTGCTTTGTTGCCGAGCTACTGGCTCCGACAGTAAACATTCCCTGACCTGGTGTACTGGGTGCCTGGCCAAATCCAGGGGCTGGGGAACCTGCTCCAAAGCTGCTGGTAGATGATGCATTTGCACCTGTAAACAAAATACCATGCATAAATTCATTTTAGTAAATAAAACTATTTTCAAAATTAATTCCAATTATACTACTCTGAAAAACAATTAAATGTTATTGGCAATGTACAGACTTATGCACTGGTCATTGATTCACATGTGCAAAATCAATATCACCATATCACCTCACAAGGGAAAATCTGATCCAGTTTGACTTCAAAAGATGTGTGTTTAAATTCGGATTCATCAAATATTAAATCAATTAATAGCTTTTGTAGTTTTATATCCGATAGAAATTTAAAAACTGCCTATCATTATCACCACTTTGTACAGTTCAAAGGCACATTTTGTTACAATTTGTTGCATTCAGATAAAAAAAATATGTTAGCAATTCGGAAAAACCTACTTACCAAAATTGAATGTACTGGCCCCACCTCCTCCTGCAGCTGCACTGAAGTTGAATCCTGTTGTACTACCACTGGGTTGCTGGGGTTGCTGGGGTTGTTGGGTAGTGGCTCCAAATCCAAACACAGCATTGCCACTGTTAGCCGCCTGGGGAGCACCTGGTGGGGCATTGCCACCAAACATTGTAGACGAAGATGTATTGAATGGATTCGAAGGCTTGGGTCCACCACTAAAACTAGGACCGGTGTCACCAAAAGCTGGGGCTGACCCAGACTTTGTCATGCCTCCCTGGAATGTTCCACTGGACTGGGCAGTGGAACCTCCGAACACTGGTGTGGCACTTGTTTGTGGCTTTGCCCCTCCGAAAGCTGGAGCAGCCCCTACTGTGTTTGTTGTTGCACTGGCTCCAAAATTGAAAGTGGATGCTTTGGAAACTGTGGCTCCAAAACCAAAATTTGAAGCGGTAGTTGTTGGATTTGACGCGCCAAAATTAAAGGCAGGTGTTGCTGCCTGCGTCTTATTTTCGTTTGTAACCCCTCTAAAATCAATCGCTTGCGGCTTTGGATTTGTTGCACCTCCAAAACTGAAGGTTGTTGATGCTGCAGTTGTCGTTAGATTTGAAGCACCAAAATTAAAACTAGAAGAACTGGTAGTCTGTGTAGATGTATTCCCAAAATTGAAGGCTGAAGCACTGGTGGTAGTCTGATTTGTAGTGCCAAAATTAAAGGCTGGTGGTGCTGTTGTTTGGGGTGCAGCAGGAAACCCAGAGGTGCTCACTGCAGTGTTAACAGCACCTCCAAAAATGTTAGAATTTACAGTCGGAGCAGCTCCGCCTCCAAAATTGAAGCCACCAGTGGTAGCTGCCTTAGTAACCTGGGGAGCAGTATTTCCAAAAGTTGGTTTGTTCTGTGGAGCGACAAATGTGGGCGCAGCACTACCAAAAGTAGGTGCATTACCTGAGGGAGCACCAAATGTATTTGCCTGTGTCGTAGGATTTGGAGTTGCAAACACAGGAGTGAAATTTGGCTGATTTGTCGGGACTCCAGTTCCAAATGTGGTTGCAGTTGTATTTTGGAAATTATTGGCACCAAAGTTTGGGTTAGGGCCAGCGCTAGTGCCAAAGCTAGCTGTAGGTACAGATTGAGTTGTGTTGCCAAACACAGGAGCAGGAGCACTTCTACCTGTTTGCGTAACATTGGTTGCAACTCCGAAGGGAAATCCAGTTGTGTTGACAGTGGAGGCATTACTGAATGCTGTAGTAGATGCAGTGTTTCCTGTCGCAGTAACTTTGGGAGCTACATTTGATGTCACAACACCGCTAATACCGCCAAAGCTAGGTGGCCCAGCAGTAGTCGATACACTGTTAACGACCCCAAACGAAGGCTGAACAGCAGCAGCTGCCGCATTGGTAACTCTACCGAAGTTAGGGATTACCCCGGCATTTGTACTTGGAGTTGCTGCACCGAAGTTTAACACATCTGGAGCTTTCGATGAATATTCTGCAGCAACGGCACTAGCAATTGCTGCACCTACAGTCCCTGGATCAGCAGCCTGTAGTCCAAATTTAGTTGATAGAGTAGAATTTATGTCACTTGATGTGTTTATGGTTGCTTTTACTGATGCAGCTACATTTCCTACAGAAAAACTGCCAGCTAAAGATTGACTAACCTTTGAACTGGAGACAGAAGCTACATTAGTGCCAGGGAGGGAAGGTGTAATACTGCTGGGAAGGCCCGCAAAAAAGTTGTTACTTGAAGTGGATGCCACAGACGTGGTAGTGTTCTGTATTCCCAGACTCATGGCCGCTGGGGCAGCACTCACGGTAGTGTAAGTGCCCGACCCTGACAAGGACACTGGAGAGGAGGCTAGCAAACTGGACGCCGATGTTGATGCAGATGTAGAAATATTGAAAGACGGAGCTGTTACGGACCCAAGCCCTTGTGTTGTGGAAACCTTACCTGGGGCTGGTGTGGATGCTGATGTAGTGATAGATTTGGACACTACGAGGGGGTTCACAGACAGGTTAGGTAAATTAACGGAGGAAGTTACAGGAGCTACAAAAAAGGGGAAAGTAAAAGTCATTAATCCTAATTATTATTTAATTTTAAAACAATAACAACAATTTAAAAACCTTTTTCTTTTTTTCTTTTTCAGTATTATAAACCCACCTATTCTTCTACACTACGGATCTCAGTCCTAACAAACAAATCTTAATGATCTACAACTGACATATGCCAAGATTGTTCAACCATGCCATTTATTTCATAGGCAAAGTAATGTTACATGTATTAACAGTTATTGTGGCATTTAACCTCACCTGATATTTCAGGTAATGTGAGCTTATAATTGACCATTGACTTACCTGTGTTGGATGTTGAGGGTGTGGGGGAGATGACCATTGACTTACCTGTGTTAGAACTTGGGGGTGTGGGGGATATGACCATTGACTTACCTGTGTTGGATGTTGAGGGTGTGGGGGAGATGACCATTGACTTACCTGCGTTGGATGTTGAGGGGGTGGGGGAGATGACCATTGACTTACCTGTGTTGGTTGTTGAGGGTGTGGGGGAGATGACCATTGACTTGCCTGTGTTGGATGTTGAGGGTGTGGGGGAGATGACCATTGCCTTACCTGTGTTGGATGTTGAGGGTGTGGGGGAGATGCCCATTGACTTACCTGTGTTGGATGTTGAGGGTGTGGGGGAGATGACCCTTGACTTACCTGTGTTGGATGTTGAGGGTGTGGTGGAGATGACCATTGACTTTCCTGTGTTGGATGTTGAAGGTGTGGGGGAGATGACCATTGACTTACCTGTGTTAGAACTTGGGGGAGTGGGGGATATGACCATTGACTTACCTGTGTTGGATGTTGAGGGGGTGGGGGAGATGACCATTGACTTACCTGTGTTGGATGTTGAAGGTGTGGAGGAGATGACAACTGTAGATACTGCTGTGTTTGTCACACCTAGAACACTCCCTGTAAGAAATCAACGGAAATAAGCAATAATGCAATAAACAGACTTTTCAGTGTTCTAGCTAGCAAGGAATAGCAGGGTGCTGTTCACCAACTGGTGAAAAGACCTATTGTTTTTGTTTTGTTTCTTCTTATTCTTCTTCTTATTATTATTCTTCTCCCCTAATTTGTGAATTCTGTATCTTTTGATTGGTAAACGATAGGTTTATAGTCTTTTAGGTATGTTGTAGGAAAAGGTCTGAAGATGATCAAGCAACATTTTGAAGTAGGTCAAAAATCCAATATGGCTGCCATACCTCAAAATCTTAAAATGACTATAACTCAAAAACGGTTTAATTTACAGAATTGACGCAATTATATAATATGGAGATAATCTTCAGGGCTAACTTTTTTGTCAGTGCTTTATCTCAAATAAAGGTCAAATAAAAAAACTCGCTGTTGGGTCAAAGGTCACATATTTTTTATTTATTTATTTTGGATTTTTTGGGAAAAAATCTTTTACAGATCAATGCAAAATGTCATTCCGATGAATTTGATGCCTTTAGTTTTTCTGTAACATTTTCCATTAACATCCTATGGCGTGTTCATTATTGTCTTTGATCTTTTTTGAAAATCCGACACTATTTTTACAAACTTCAACGATCTTCTTCTCCAATTCTGCCATAGCAATAATAACCAAAATTGGTACATGTATTCCTCTAGGGGTCCTTACAAACTTATGTTACTTTTTAGAGCAACTAATATTCCAAGATGGCCGCCACGAACTCTGATTGGTTAACAGTTTATACCAATATATTTTGTTAACGATATCAAATACGAAGTTGATATTTGGATATAATATAGATATAAGCAAGAGCAAACTTTTTCTTTCATACTGTTTTAACAAAAAATGTCAACTTCCAGTTTTAGGCAGGGATCAAAGTTAAAAGGCACTATATTGGATACCAACCTTAAAAATTCTTCTTCTTAAGTTCCACATGGTCTAGAGTCTTGATATTTAATAATAAAGATTCTGAGATGTCAGGGTATTAGGTTTGAAAAAATGGTTGACATTGATCAACTATCAAGGTCACAATCAAGGTCACAAACTTCATATGTGCTATTTCAAGATAATGACTTCAAAGACTTCTTCTAAAGTTCTACAAGGTCTAGAGTCGTACTATCTGATAATAACATGGTCAGGTGATTGACTATCAAGTTCTACAAGGCCTAGAGTCCTACTATCTGATACATAACATGGTCAGGTGATTGACTATCAAGTTCTACAAGGCCTAGAGTCCTACTATTTGATAAATAACATGGGCAGGTGGTTGACTATCAAGTTCCACAAGGCCTAGAGTCCTTCTATTTGATACATAACATGGTCATGTAATTGACTATCAAGTTCCACAAGGCCTAGAGTCCGTCTATTTGAGCCATAACATGGTCAGGTGATTGACTATCAAGTTTGAAAAAATGAATGAACCTGAATGACTTTCAAGGTCACAGAGGTCATATATGTAAAAAATATTGAAACCACCATTTCTGAATAACCAATTATTCCAGGGTAACGATGTTTGGCAAAGAAGCATGCTTGAATGAAGGGCTTTAAAGTGTGTGCAAATGAACAACCTTGACCTACTCTAAATATAATTTCAAAGGTGAAAGTCAAAAACCGTTTTCATTTTTGTGCGATTGTGAAGTGCTTTCAGTACTCTCAGTACTTTGATTTATATCAAGACATCTAATACACGCTGGTAATACTACACTGATTACTATGCACTCCCAATCTTAAAAATATGGACAGTTTATATCTCTATTGCAGTGGGTAAACATCTGCCTTTCTTTGTCGTGGCAAACCCAACCGATATAGACACAAAGATAGTTTCAATTAATCATCCCGACGTACATAGTGGACGGACTATATGACGACATTTATGGACTACATTTCTGTACAACTAAGCCCATTGGCTGCCTATATTTATCCATTCTTTCTCCCGACGTCATTTCGCACTCCAGGAATCCCCCACTACTCAGCCAGCTACTGTAGACTTGCACAGGTTATTAACAGAAGGCCAAATCAGTCCTTACAGTGAAAAAACCCGTCAAATTGTTAGTCAACAATTTCTAGCTGTAGGTGTTCTTAGTACTAACCTTTGACCTTATTCTTATCGGCATCCTCGTTGGACACGATGTCCTCTAGCATCTGTTCAACTCGTCGTTGTTCCGCTTCACGGTCAGCTTCATAGTCCTCTATACAGGCCACAACATTGGACTTGGGTACCTGTAATACACATACTTAACATAGACGTAACATAATTGGACTTAGTTCCCTTAAATGATGAGATTCTGATCAACTAAACTAAGACATAAATATGAAACAAGAGGCCCTCTGGGCCTGTATCGCTCACCTGAATATGTTTAAAATAATTGGTATGAAGTAAAGACATAGCACTCCATGTTGGGTACTGTAAGTACATATGAAATTTCAGAAAGATCCATCCAGTACTTGAGATACATGTATAGCGAGAACAAACTTCAAACAGAGCCCCATCCCTATGCCCCAAGGGGGGTCATACCCACCAATTATACAAAATTGAGTCCCCTTGGTCCAAGGATGCTCCAGACTAAATAAGGATAAAATCCCTTTAATCCCAGTGGTCGAAGAAGGATTATCAAGGTTTTACCTCTATTTCCCCTATCGGGCCCCTCAGGCCTCTGGGTGGTCAGACCGACCATTTATACAAAATTGGTTCTTCTTCACCCAAAGATGCTCCACACCAAATTTTGTTAAAATCTGCTCAGTGGTTCATGACTAGTAGTGTAAAGTTGACGGACGACAGACGACGAACGCTGCGGTATGGCATAAGCTCACCATGGTCCTTCGGACCAGGTGAGCTCAAAATCAGTGTTTGGTAACAATTACCATAATTATCCTGCAATAAGCCCAGGGTGTCAACCTATAATCTCAAACTGAAAGTAGGGGAAAGGGCTTATTACAGGACAATGAAAAAGCTGTAAAATCAAGGCATGGTTTCAGATTGACATTGGACACTGAAATTATTGATGGTGAAATGAAATGTTTGTTGTTTGTTAAAAGCTCACTAAGTTAACTAAGTTCTGGCTTATAATGTCAGCGTCTCGCTTATAATGTCAGCGTCTCGCTTTTAATGTCAGCGTCTCGCTTATAATGTCAGCGCCTCGCTTATAATGTCAGCGCCTCGCTTATAATGTCAGCGTCTCGCTTATAATGTCAGCGTCTCGCTTATAATGTCAGCGGCCAGCGTCTCGCTTATAATGTCAGCTCCTCGCTTATAATGTCAGCGCCCAGCTTCTCGCTTATAATGTCCGCGTCTCGCTTTTAATGTCAGCGTCTCGCTTATAATGTCAGCGTCCAGCTT